TATTTTAATAGGAATGGATACTTCTATGTTTTTTCGACATCTTATGACCTAGTGATCTGCAATTTGACGTCTGTTGTCTATGTTGGTTTTTATTAGACAGAGAATTGCATTTTGATATTTTTATCCAATAAGAACACTGAATTTTGATCACGTGATACTGAGTTATTTGATAATTTTGAGGTTCTGGTTGTTTTTTGACATCGATAACACGCTTGTAGCTCAAATTAATAAGTGAAAATTTTTTGACAAAAAAAATTATCAGTGCTGTCAAAGCTGACTTTCAAATTTCAAAATTAAATTGCAAGTGTTTTAGACAACATTTATTACAATTTTATTAAAAATTTACATTATTTGCTGATTTCTTCAGGTGTAGTAGGTACTTGCTTGCAAGATATAATTCCGTTTAGAGCAAAAGTTTTCAAACTGACTCCACACAGAAGAATGTGATTTTCTTGTATTCTGCGGAACACTGCTTACAATACTATCCCCAATATCTGATAAAGATTTATCACTAAATCGCTTATTCATTATTTCTACCGTTGACAATACGGCGAAAAAACAGGAAAAAAGTAAATAGATGGTAAACGCAGTCAAAATCAGTTTTTTAATTTCAATTCAATTAAAAAAATATCATCATGCAATCCTGTAACCTCTTTCTCGAAAAATTATCAAATAATTTTCCTCGCACTTGGGAAATTATAATCTTCAAAATTATTCCCTCGATTGTTGAGAGTATTATTTTAGCTTAGAAATATCGGTGATGGTAAGACACAAAGTTTGTCTAAAAATTATGAAAAAATTCAGGGACGTAGATCTTGACACGCTGATTCCAAAAATATAGCATGTTGATGGTCACGAAGCAACATTTTGGAAAAAAACGCTGCAAAATGCGAATTTTTTAAAATTTCAAAAATTTCGATATTTCAACGGTCGATTCTGGAAAAACGGTTGCAGGTATCAAAAAACCGAGGCCGGATTTGAGTTCTAAAGCTTGAAATCTACAAGAAAATGTATTTAGTTGAGTTTCGAAAATGTCAAAATTTTGGGAAATTTGAAGAAGGGGGGACATTTGTCTGATCACCACCACCAACAATGTGCTGACATCCTCTGAAATATTCACAGCAAATATGTACTATTTATGTTCCATAAAATAACATAGTCCTGTACTTGTGGTTTATGGATCCACCTTGATTTTTATCACAGTTATTTTACCAAAATTTTTATGCATTATGCACATATGAGTGATATTCATATATAAGAATGTCCTTATAAACAAATGCTTGTAGGTATAAGCTTTTACTTATCCGTAGAAGGTTCAATTAAAAGTAAATGCTTATTTGTATATTCATAATGAAATACTTACGCCATAAGAATTTACTACCTGTTGAGTGAACTGCATCGTGGTTGATTCCAAGAAATAACAAAAAAACTTTACCATCACGTAGTCAAGTGCATAAATATAAATGAGTTTTTTTGTTTGAAATCGCAAATACGGGTGGAAAATAGGGTGCAGATTTAGAATATTATCAAAATGCTTAGCTCAAGTGACACCTCTGACGAAGAAATAAATTATAGCGATTAGAAAGAAATTTTGTGAAAAGCAATGAAGTCATTTTGAGTAAAAGTCAACTCCCATCAATAAAGACAAAAAAGACTTAGCTCCTGAAAAACTAAAGAATGAACTTAGGGATAACTTGGAAAAAAATAATGCGTCTATAAAGAAGAAAACCGATAAACATCTGAAATAATTGAAATTAATCTACTAAAATTTTTCGTGATAAAACACTACTTAAATAAATATATACCTGGATCTGAAACGTATTTTCATTTTTTTGTATTATTATCAATGAGAAAATGCTCAGAAAGCCGTTGTACACTTTTTGATCGGATATCGGAACCGAAATAATTTTATAAAATCTTCCTCCTGAGGGTCAGCGCGTCTTTCTTTATAAAATTTTTGTTTTTGTACTATTTGATTAAACATTTTAATTCCTAGACTTGTCATAAGCAACTGAAGAACCAGACTTATCTTTTTTTAAAGGATATTCTTAATTTGTCAAGGAAAAGGTGACTGTTTTGAATACCGATGGAAGGAAAAGCTTATACTTCTCATCTAAGATTAAGTTACTAAAGTAACTAAAAAGTAAACTAAAATTGTTACTTAAGATTAAGCTTTTGCTTACAGGCATTTGCTGAAAATTTTATGAATATAAGTTGAAGGATTTCCTTAAAAAAATACTAGAGAAAGCAAATGCTTATTATTATGAACACCACGCAATGACCTGACAGTGGCCGTGTGGGTTTTCCACACCTCAACATTGAACTTGAGCTATACTCGCAAGAGTTCTAATCCCATCGTTATTTTTTTTTTAACACACTTTGATTTCCGGTGAGAGGAAAATTCTACTAAAATTATTTTACATCAATTTTTTCTAAAGCAAAATACTCCATGTACATATTTTGAAGATTTTTCTCGTTTTTTTTTAATACTTCAATTTTTTTAAGACAATTTTGTACAGTAAAGTATGATGTTTTAGTTCGCACTTTAAGTAAACTTACTCAGTGATATTTTCTGATTCTGTTATAATGTTTTAGAGGAAGCGAATAATTGCATTTAAAATTGCAAAATAATCAATTTAGTATTTTTGGAGGTTATCTATACAATAAATTCTCAACAGGTCTAATTATAATTGTAGGACGACGGAAACGGGAAACGTGTTAGATAGGAAATTGGACATTGAACAAAATTGAATCTGCTGTCTAGCTGTCATCCAGGAATAAAAAAAAACAGACGAAGTATTTATTTGCCTTTATTGTTAACACATTTTACGGTTTTCATTTCCTGAGCGTATGCTACGGAAATATTTTAATTGAACGACTGGCCACTTTTATGTTTTCTCGACGTTGCATAACCTCTAGAGTACGAAAAAACAGCTCTCCCGTTTCCGCCTGTCTATCTGTCTGCCGTCTGTCCGGATTTTTATTACGCAGACAATCTCCGAAACTACTGAATTGATTTCTGTCAAATTTTATATGTGTATTAGGAACATCGTCTACATTGTAAAACGCTATCCAAAATTTGGGTAATCATCCCCACCAACAATAAGATGAGATGATTACCAAAATTTATTATTTCCTATCATTCATACTCCCATTAAACCAAATTTTATTTAATAGAAATAAAGAACACACCAATGAAATTGCACCACCTTGAAAACTCAATGACTGTGTTATTTTCAGAAAATCCCGAGTTACGTCAGTTTTTATTTTTAAGGGGACGCAACCTTGTCCCCTTGCAGAGGCAGCCTTCCATTGAAAAAATTTAAATGGCAAGGAGGGTCGAGTGAGTCCTCAAAAACTCGACGTTCGACTGGAATTTAGTAACCACATTATAGGGTAGCTACTTACACAGGACAACTGGAACGTTGAAATTTATGCTGAAAGATCAAACTAATCCACTTATTCTGGACACCTTTAAACAACATGCAAATTTATTAGAAAATGAAGTGATGCTCCACAAGATGGAGTACCTCCTCATTATGCTACTCATGTGGGGTGGTTTTTGGACAATGACTTTCTGGGGTAGTGACTTGTAGAAGAGTTCCTTTATGTTTTTTTAAATCGTCGATTTAAGGGTGTCGATCATACAACTAGCGTTTTTGGAAAAAATAATGGAAACGATTGTCCTACGCCATACAGATAACTTTAGCATTGGATGAAGGTCAGTGGATGTCTCATAAAAGGAAATCCAATTAACTAATTAATTAAATTAATTGATTTAAGTTATATTCTAAAAATGGTGGTTCTAGATATCTTTGTATAACATCAAAAGTGTTATTTAATAATTATTTAATCTCGAATTATTCTTGACCGTTATAAAATTGTGTTTTCATAATTTAGTTCAATGTAATATATTTTAAAAGTGCACGTGCAGTCATCACGTGGAAGGCTGCTAAATACAAGTTTTGTTACATCCTGCACCCAGTAATTACTTTTTTAATTACACATTTATGCATTTACACGCACAACCATGGAACAAATTCAACGCTAAAATAATAAATTTAATAACATGTGTAGGTTCTTTGATGGTTCTGATTGTGCAACAGTGATTAGGGGGGATGAAGGTGAAATACTTAAAGCTATTAGTATCTCGATTTCTGTTGGCATTTTAGATGTTGAAACCAAATTGTAATGACTGCTTCTTGTCAACGGATGGCTAGTAACGACTCAGCAAATTTTAATAATAAAATCGAAAGGTGGATATTATTTGCAACAACTTAATTGTCGAAATAATGGAATTGAGGTTAAAAGTGAAATAACACAAGCGGTATGATTATGACACAATTGAAACCACTTAGTACGTACGTGTCAAAACAATATAATAAAAAAATGAAAAATATTTTTATCTTATGTGAGTTTGAGAAAAATAAGGTAAACTTTGAATAGGGAGTGATAAATAATAACAATACAAGTGCATTTTGCAGAAATATTAATTTTTAAATTGCATGGATACCCTTGGCGCAATTAATTAAGACAATTGAACAATTAATAATAATCCATTCACAGGTACTTACAACGTAAACCATTTTCTCTGTACCACCCGTTATTATGTGTTTATTATTATAATTTTTATTCATTACGTTGGAGAGAGCAAACCCACGAGATGAACTTGACCAATAATTGAAACAAGATTTTTTCTTTTTTTTTTCGAAGAAGTTTGTTTCGCCCCTGATTCAAATTTGTTCGGAATCACCTTCTACCGCAATAACATTTGCTTAATTACTACAACACTCACTACAAGGTCGTTCATTGATCCACTTGAGTAAGATTTATTTACTAATTCAGTGAAGCTGTTGTTTAATAGGTTCCGATTATCCCTTTTTAGCGCTAACTTATTCTATTAATGTGTAAATTAATTAAAGGGGTAGTTTAATAGAATTTCCTCTTGGCAATTCCACCACAACGCGGCCCTAAAAATTAATAAGCAAAAAAATACTTACGGGTCAGTGGTTTTCTCTGCCTTATCCACTTTGTCTGAAATCGTGTAAACCATTTTCGGGAGACACTAAGCACATAAAAAAAGTTAAGATTAATCGAGTGGACAGCGGTCGCGAGACTAGTTGAAACGCCGAGTTTTGTAATCAATCTACTATCTAACTCTTGCGAGATGCATAGACTGATTTCCTTGTCCTTGCTATCAAAGCGGTAGGATAATCTGAAACTGTCTGAGGATTTTTATGGCTAGAGTAACACGGATTAGTGGAAAAATGTATTATCTAATTAATTTGCTATTTACATTTCAAAATGTTGATTCAATGATAGTGCTGTAATAAAAGACGGAAACAAGTTTGATGTTCGTTTTATATTACTTCGGTGCATTTTGCCATTGTGAAGTTATACTGAGAATAATTAATACAAAGTGCATTTTTAGTAGCACCATCATTTGCATAAAATTATTTGTGATCTAGTCTCTTTATACAAGTAAAGTCAAGTGAAGGAGACATACCAGACATCAAAATATTGTTCTTAATGTAACTTGGCGAAATTTATTTTCTTTTGTGACGACTTCAAATATATGAGTCAATACTTGTGGTTTTAATTTTGTTTATTTAATTGTACAGGGTGACTCAAATAAATTTATAAATCAGAAAACTTTAGGAATACAGTATTGTTATCATTACCATACCACTTGTTCTTGCTAAAATGTTGATGACATCATCAAAACATTCTTTCTTCTTTACTGTTACTTTAACACTACACGCATGTCTTTATTTTAAAATAGGAATTATCATAAAAAATAAAAAAAACAAAATCAAATTTTATAATTTTTCGAAAAATCTGAATATGTTATACTATGTTCAGGGACAGGGGAAATTCTCTCCAAATAACTTTAAACCAGTTTTTTCGATTTTCTGTCTTTTCTTGTAAAATGAAAATTTTTATTTTTTTTTTGACATGTTTTGATTGAATCTATAGGAAAAATTAATAAATTTTGTCACTAAATTTTTAAGTCTAATCTGGAGTAGCCAGTTCATATTTATTTATTTAATATACATAATTTGGGATTTCCAACGGTACAAAAAGCCACCTTTTAATTATTTCCGCATACTAAACTAGCTTTGTTCATATGTTATTATAATTTTTTTTTTTTGATAAAATTAAACTTCAGTTTTATGTCCCTATTCATAAATCAGTGATCTTTAAATGTTATTAAATAAATCCTTCACTACTTCAGTTAAAATTAAAATTTATTAAGTGTCTACCATCGATTTGATGGTCACCAAACCGTCGAACCAGCGTTTCCCTGCTTGTTTATTTTGCAAACAAAATTCGGAAAATTATTTTGCAATTACGTGTTTTTTCTTTATGTTTTTGCCACTGTTATTCTGGTTATTCGCGTCACAGTATGTTGATCGTTTTGGAAATAGTATAGAACTAGTTATTTAAATATTTTGTATTTATCAAATAACATAGGAAAAATTTGTCTGACGTTACAATCTGCTCTGATGCGCAAGTGGCAGATTTTTGTTATTTAAAATTCTGCAGGAGTCCGTTACCTTTTCGACTAATTAAGCAGGCAGACGTGGAATTTTACAGCCCCACTTAATTTCGCGTTAAGTAGATCTTATAATTTTCGCATAAAATTGCTAACAGTGACCAGATTTACAATTAAAAATATTCCTTTAGAAGAAAATTAGCATAAAAAAAGTCTATAACATATAACATACTGTCACGAAATATAAAATGAAATGATAATACTTATTTTTTCGTAAATATTTATAATTACTATTTTTACCTGACTCTATTCACCCCAATATTTTTTGTTGTTTTCCTGTCAGTTATGATGAAAAGTAAGATTAATTAATGAAATATTATTTTCTCCCTCTGGGATATTGTTTTCAGGATTTTATTTGCTTTGAAACACAAACAGTCTTTAATAAATGCGTTTTTTACAGCAACAACATGTTTTATAATTGTTTGAATATCATGGAAAGTGTCAACCTCAATTAACTGACTGATAAATTCAGGTCGATAATATTTAAAAACTGGCGTCGACCCTAAAGGGTGTGATTGGGTTTTTTGCTAATTTTCTATAAATGTAAAGCTGAATTTAATAATTTTCAGTTTTGAAAACGTTGCTTAGTCTTGCTTCTTTTTGTAATGTCAGTTTAAACCAACACTTTTAATCCAAATGGGGAAACGAACGTGGAAAACGGAAAAGCTAACCTCTAAATATGAAACTAAGAGTGCACTGACGGGTTAATTATGTGAACGTGATATAGTTTTATTTCAAGCAGCTATTCCCTGACGGCCCACTATCATCCTTCCTAATATGAGTTAGTTTTTAAAATGCGTCTGATGAATTTAACTATCTTTGTTCTAAAATAGGTCTTTTTATTCGCTTGAGAGGCATTTAAACCACTTTTGTCGTTACTGTAAAAGGTTAATTTAAATTAAATTTTGCCGCAAGGTAAATTTAACATTTATAATACTCTACAAGCTTCACGTGACGCCATGTGCTTGTTCACCCTTTAAGTTGTTCGGAGTTCATAGTTGGGAATATTACTTATGTAGAATGCGTACTTGAGAAAGTAGAGGCCCGTCTTTGGAACGGTTTAATTGCAGAAAATCTGTTCTTGAAATTGGTATTGATAACATCTTTACAAAATAATCAAGTAAAGTGTATCGATTAATTATAATTTATTGTAATATTGTCGAGGTACGATCGTACTGAATTTTTCTGAATCCAGTAATATGACTAACTATAATCTAAAATTTTTTCAAAGTTCTTTTTTCGAATGTCGACAGAAATTTGAATAATTTACTTGGCTTTGCTTTTTTATCATAGGGAGCAAAACGATCACTTTAGCCCTTATTTCGAGGGATTAAAGCAACTGAATTTTTTGAGGGAGTGCAAAAAAGTTATTAATTACTACCGGTTACTAATTTCTGGAGCGATAAAAAATGGATACCAACTCGTTTATCAAACGCCTTAATTTGGATAAGCATTATTAATAAAAAAAAGTCGCAATGTCAACAAGAAATATTATTTAGAATGAATTCATTGCTAGCACTGGAGACACAAAGTACGATTTTTTCGTACGTAGCGTTCATTTTTATTTTCTTTTAATTCGTTAAAATATTGTGAACACAAACACGTACGTGCAGCAGTGTTTTAGTTATAAAATATTGTTGAGTTTTTTGTTGCTACTTAATTCTTGTGTTGGGTTTAAACAAATGTCTTTTCGCCAGTGTAAATTTCTACATTTCCGCAGCGCCACCATGCACGATCATTAGGTCTCCACTGAATTTTATTTGTTTTTGCGTGTTCAGTTTTTATTTAAATGTTACAAAGGTTACGATTTCTGCGTAGAACTTTGTTTCAATTTCGTTGCGTAGTTCTCTTAGCCGTAAGTTTAGATTTATTAATATTGATAACAATTCATTTGCATACATTTCTTTAGAACTTTATCTACGTATCAGGTATCAACGTCGAATATTATAAAACAAATGTAAGGGATAGTTCATAGACTACTTCACCCTTTGTCTGGACTTAACTGACTGCTCTCGCCGGTGGTTCCCATTTAAAAAGCCACGCGGTCCTTCTCGAACAGTCGCCGTCACCGCTTCTAGGCTTATTCTGGAGTACCCATCGCGATTTCCGCTTCCAGACTTCTTTAGCGAACGCCGTCCGGCCTCCGTCACCGACGATGAGTCACCCATCATCACCGCACATACTAGAAAACCCATAGGGGTTGTACCGGAGCGGCGTATGAGTTTATTTCGTAACAATATATAAATAAAGTCTTGACTCACTCACTGATTGACTTATCAACGCCTAGTCCAAATCCTTAGGCCTAGAAAGCTGAAATTTTGCACAGAGATTACCCTTATGATGTAGATAAAGAGTAAATAAGCACTTTTTGAAATACCACCTCTAAAATCTAATATTAAGGCTTCTGGTCAGAAATTAAACATTTAGGTGTGTCAACGTTTTTGGAAATTCTATTCCTGAAGGGGTCAAATAGGGTATGAAAATTTGTAAGTCGCGTCATTTTCGCAACAATAAACATGAAATTGAATATGTGGGCTTATGGTTTACGTTTTTGGAAATTCCATCTCTAGAAGGGTAAAGTAGGGGATGAAACATTGAATTGTAAGATGCTTTGTTTCACAAATCACGAGTGGTACTCCTGGCGGATGATATTTAGTTAGTTAATTAGTCAATTTACTCGTTTGTATATACAAGATGAGTCATTAAGCACGCATATCTCGATATCTCATTAATTTATTATTCGAAATAGAAAAAAAAAAATTGGTCTAAAGAGTTTCGACAGTACTTCCCTCGCTGTCGGAAACGTGACGACTGCATGCCTATTATGTTTTTTTTTTCGCAGTGGATTTCAAAGAATTCGGTTTTGTTGTTTCTGAGTAAATCAGTAAAATAAATTTACGCATTCATTAATTTTTTTGAGTCACCCTGTATATGCAAATCCAAAAAATATGAATGGAGTGATAGATCACAAGTACAGACTCATCATATTTTGTACATTTTAGATATGATTTATTCGGCAAACTTTCGAGCTGACGTCATCAATTTTTTGGAGGGGATAAGCAAATGTATTTTGACTAAACATTTATTATGCTCTTTATAACCTTAAAACATCTGCAAGATTTCAGAGCATTCGGTTTTGTAGTTCCTGATTAAATCAATAAAATATATTTACGCATTCATTAATTTTTTTGAGTCACCCTGTATATGCAAATCCAAAAAATATGAATGGAGTGATAGATCACAAGTACAGACTCATCATATTTTGTACATTTTAGATATGATTTATTCCACAAACTTTTGAGCTGACGTCATCAAGTTTTTGGAGGGGGTAAGCAAATATTTTTTGACTAAAGATTTATGATGCTCTTTATAGCCTTAAAACATCTGCAACATTTCAAAGCATTCTGGTTAGCAGATTAAAAATTAAATTTCAAAATGTTGTTTTATAATTTTGATTTTTTTTCCAAAAATCTGGACGTTTCGGGTGAAAAGTCGATTCGGAGTTGTAAACTACATGTGTAGGACTATGTTATTTTATACAATTGAAAACCCATTTACTATGTACAATTTTGAAGTGACGTCATCGCATTAGTGGTGGGGATGATTAGACAAATTTTGGTTAGCGTTTTACCATCTACATGATATTCTTAATATAAGTACAAAATTTC